CAAACTAAAGAACAAATGTAGAAATATCTTTACATTTAGAAACAAACTAAAAGAACAAATGTAGAAATATCTTTACATTTAGAAACAAGGTGATTTGTTATCATCTTTTCTGTTTCCCTTGTCAGATGCTTGGGTGAACAAAAGGATAAGAAATGACTTATTATTAGTACACATTAAATGAGGAAGTAAAGCCACTATAAACAGACCATAAAGGGTTAAAGATGTTAACGGTGGTTCTGAGACTGAAGTGAACCCGTCTCTCTCTGGTCCTCCCCTCCAGCACTGGGAGTTCGCCCCAAACAGTGTTCACTACCTGCTGAGTCTGTGGCAGCGTCTGGCGGCCTCGGTCCCGTATGTCAAAGCCACCGAGCCTCACCTGCTGGAGACCTACACCCCCGAGGTCACCAAGGCCTACATCACGTCCCGGCTGGAGTCGGTCCACGTCATCCTCAGGTGAGACCATCAGACCTTCACATCCTGGTGCTGGATGTTTAGAGACAGAGAGGAGACGTTTCTCTTAAGGTTTAAGATTTCAGTTTTTCTTCGGACTAAAGAAACAAGATATAAAATGTTAACAATCAGTAAAGCTTTAGAGGAGCTGGTAGTGGGATTCTGTTAGCCATGCTGTTTCCCCCTGTTTCCAGTCTTTATGCTAAGCTAACTAGCTGTAGCTTCATGTTTACTGTACAGACAATATATCATTGATGCTGATATTCTTATCCAACGGTTAAATAAACGGTTAACTATTTATTTTAAAAGTGAGGTCAGTCAGATGAATGCTCACTAGACCCCTTCTGGTTTCACTAGACCAGCACAGGAACTGGTAGCAGGTGAACATGAATGTAAACACGACAGGTATGTCTCAGACTGACTGGTTGTGTCGACCCCCCCCCCCCCCCCAGAGACGGGTTAGAAGACCCCCTAGACGACGCCGGTCTGGTTCAGCAGCAGCTTGACCAGCTGTCCACCATTGGAAGGTGTGAGTACGAGAAGACCTGCGCTCTGCTGGTCCAGCTGTTCGACCAGGCGGCTCAGACCTACCAGGAGCTGCTGCAGTCCACCAACTCCAGCGCCGCAGACATCACTGTTCAGGAGGGTAGGAGCCTCAGAGGTCACATTCATGCTAGTGTCTTCAGTCTGAATGAGGTTTACTTCATACATATAATCAGGTTTATTATATATATATATATATATATATATATATATGTATGTATGTATGTATGTATGTATGTAT